GGTGATCCGGCCGGGTTTCCGTTAGGGAATTTGGCTGGGGTGTATGAAAATTTCTTCATGAAGACATGCTTGACGGCAGCTCGATGTTCAATATTCAGTTTCCTCTGTAAAAAAACATTATCGCAAGCGTCACATTCTGCGTCAGCCAAGGGTGAAATTTGATATTGTGATTTCCGAAAAAGAACCCACTTTCACCTTTTTTGCTCATTGACACTCTAGATCTGTCTTGTCCTCAACAGATTCTCCTGTTCGGCAACGTACTCACCGCGTCAACGCTGCGAAAATCAATTATAGGATTGATGATGAGGATGAAAGTGGAACTAGTGACGATGGTGAGGACAATTTCCACGAAATCGACCACGGTCAGGGGGACAGAAAAATCGAACTCCCTGTGGCTCCTCTCCCATCGCAGCCTGTCTCATCCTCCCAGGGATCTGAGTTAGTTGAGATTTTCTTGAAGCAATATGTGTTGACGTTTTTTTGTTCCAAATTAATGGTGCGTATTCGTATTTCTTAGGTCTTCGATGGTTAGAATTTGTTTGTATTTTTTTGTGGTTTGACTTAGACAGGAGGTTCAGTTTTACAGTACACGGGGAGGTAAGTTAAAGCCGATAACTTAGTAGCTATCACTGGCTGTATATCCTGTTCATAGTGTTGTGATGATTAGCATTCATTGCAATGACTTGGCAGCGAATTATAAAAGCCATTACCAGCAAACTCAGCTGCACTGGTCATTGCCGTCTTCCTGGATGGGGACCCCGAGACGGGCCACATCAATGGTTGGAGACATTGTCAGACATGGTTCAATCGCGCCCTCAATGGCGCACATGCATCCAAGCCATTGCCTTCAATGCATAGCTCCCTTCTCGATCCCCCCACTTTACGCTCCACCTACATGGCTGTATTTACGCACTAATTTATCAGCTGCTTACAATTTACAGCTACCTACCCCACCTCCCCGAACCATCGGTGAATGAAACTGTGGCAAATGCAACCACTGTACGCGGTTATTACAGCTGACAATGACAATGATGATTCATTGCAAGATGCTGGGTGACTCCTCATGAACTTTTCACATGTATTGACCCATTCAAAATAAGTCGTGACCCGGATTTCCTCATCGCGTCACATTTTCTTTCACACGATGTCAACTTTTTCGCACCTCTCGGAACCCTTGATACCACCCGGGGGGGATATGTCAGTAGTCGCAATTCACTCGTACGGTTGAGTTCTTCGGGAGCTCGTTTATCTAACAATCGATTAGAGTACAACTCCATAGCTGCTCCACCAGGGCCTGAGTATGCACAAGGAGTGAGGATGCCAGCGACATTTCTGGTCTAGTCGTTCATCTATCGAAAGTTGTGGTTGCTCTAATGGAAGCGCGGTCGTGGGTAGACCAATAAATTTGCTATCTCCTGTTCACGTGACCACTAACTGTTTGGCTGCAAAAAAACTAACAGTTTTTAGAGTAAGTTCATTTAGTATTCCTATTCTTCGACATTGGCAGCGAATTATAAAAGCCATTACCAGCAAACTCAGCTGCACTGGTCATTGCCGTCTTCCTGGATGGGGACCCCGAGACGGGCCACATCAATGGTTGGAGACATTGTCAGACATGGTTCAATCGCGCCCTCAATGGCGCACATGCATCCAAGCCATTGCCTTCAATGCATAGCTCCCTTCTCGATCCCCCCACTTTACGCTCCACCTACATGGCTGTATTTACGCACTAATTTATCAGCTGCTTACAATTTACAGCTACCTACCCCACCTCCCCGAACCATCGGTGAATGAAACTGTGGCAAATGCAACCACTGTACGCGGTTATTACAGCTGACAATGACAATGATGATTCATTGCAAGATGCTGGGTGACTCCTCATGAACTTTTCACATGTATTGACCCATTCAAAATAAGTCGTGACCCGGATTTCCTCATCGCGTCACATTTTCTTTCACACGATGTCAACTTTTTCGCACCTCTCGGAACCCTTGATACCACCCGGGGGGGATATGTCAGTAGTCGCAATTCACTCGTACGGTTGAGTTCTTCGGGAGCTCGTTTATCTAACAATCGATTAGAGTACAACTCCATAGCTGCTCCACCAGGGCCTGAGTATGCACAAGGAGTGAGGATGCCAGCGACATTTCTGGTCTAGTCGTTCATCTATCGAAAGTTGTGGTTGCTCTAATGGAAGCGCGGTCGTGGGTAGACCAATAAATTTGCTATCTCCTGTTCACGTGACCACTAACTGTTTGGCTGCAAAAAAACTAACAGTTTTTAGAGTAAGTTCATTTAGTATTCCTATTCTTCGACACAACTGGCGTATTATTATTATTATTATTACTAAGTTAGGTGAAATCCACGTCGACAAAATCTATTGCTGTTTGTTTCTAAGAATCGAATGCATCGGAAATGCGCTTGTCAACCTGTCGGAGTTATCAGTCGTTCTTATTTATCCAGCTTAGCTCACCATTTCTAACCGATGGAGTTTGACTTGACTTCTCGAGGCACTTATTAATGACTGCGTAGTACGTAAGGTAACGTTACTCTAGTCCCGACTTCACTACACTTCCGTTGCTTATAAACGATACATTCAGCCCATTGGCTATTTCTGGATGGTCGGTAATAACAGGCTTCGATGGCCTTTTATCACCAATGCCATGGTAGCATTTATAAATTTCATGTGGGTGTTCCTTGTCCAAAAAACAAGGTCCAGGATTTTTTGGCCTCCTCATCCATCAATTCGGATTTGTTTTGCTACTAGCTCAAACTGTGTCTGGCATACATTTGGCTTGTTTCCTGTTTTCGCCATTGTAGAGGTTCGAAGCCTACAGGTCGCGGTGGCGCCACTGCTGGCCGTGGCCGTGGTCGTGGCGCGGTTAAAGTTCGTGCCACCATGCCTGCCGATAGTGGTGGCGGGAAGCAAACCAAACTTGGTTTCTCGAAACCGGCCACAAAGAGGCAGGCATCGAAGAAAAATTTGGATATGTCGGATGACGATGACGCTCCTTCTGCAGGAAGTGACGACGATGTACCCGGTAAGCTACGTGTTTCAGTGGTGGCGGGAAGCAAACCAAACTTGGTTTCTCGAAACCGGCCACAAAGAAACAGGCATCGAAGAAAAATTTGGATATGTCGGATGACGATGACGCTCCTTCTGCAGGAAGTGACGACGATGTACCCGGTAAGCAAACTACGTGTTTCATAGATAGTAGAAGGATGACGACATAAGCCTTCCTGTCGCAATGTCGTGGCTTGGATTTTTAGCAAGACATTTCGGTCCCGTTGTTCTCATGGCAGTCTTTTTATTAGCTGTTGAGGTCTTCAAAGTTGCCAACACGGTTGGATGCGTCCGTTGACAGCACCATTCATGTCGCGCCGTTATATGCCTTCATGGTCAACTGTGCTCATTCATCCGGATTATTTGCACAGGCCCCCAAAGTGAGCTGACCATAAGACCTTGTGGTCACTCAGAGCAATGCGAGCATCACTGAACACATCAGGATTTTTCTGTCTATGGGAGCCGTAAGAGGGATGTGCGGCGCCTAGATTCACCTTGTTTCTTGTTGTACACGTATGCAAGGTGAATCTACACGTATGCGGACGCAGACCACCTGATTGGCGTATTTTTAGTGGTATTCTAGGAGTCAGGTGGAACAGACTCGTGCTACGTCTTCATAGCTGGATAATCCCTTAGCGTCAGTAGAGAGGCATTTAAAATCCAAAAAATGGGACAGTGTGAACAGAATTTTCACACTACCACCAGCCAACTTCCCTAACGGAAACCCGGCCGGATCACCTACTTTGTAACACAAATAATAGACCCTACGCCATTTCCACCGCCATTCAGTTGGTCGTTTTTAAGACAAACACGAAGCTGCACTATTGCACTGACGAAATGGGAACAATATAACTTGGTTTACCGTATCATGTAGCGATGAAACGTGCTTCATTTCTGAGCGATCACCGACCCCCTCACTTGATCGCAATGGACTGGAAAGTGATTGGGCCATATCAACTTTCCAATGACGTGGATAAGCACGATAGATAAGTAACAGTGTTGTTTGTAATCGACAGCCAGACAACGTATCCTCTTTGGTTTCACTTTTCCGTAACGACCCTAACACCGTCCATTAATCATTGACTTTCACGAAATTCTGTGGCCACCTTAGTTTGTTTGCGTAACGAGCTTAGTGGGGTGTTATTGTAACATGTTACTGCAACGCTATATGCGACAAAATTGAATGAAAAGCTTAAGGAAGCTATCCTGGTCGGCTGGTTGAACGAGGCAGGTAATCAAATTTACATCGGTGTATCACTGTAGGTGTTACAACTCGGCTGACCGACATTTAACGATGACGTCACCAGTCAGGCGTTTCCTAGATCCAACAGCCGTGCAATTCCAAACAGCCTTGGACAGACAAGGCTCTTTGGTAGACCATCTTGTCGTGTTCACTTGTAGTGCTTACCGAAAGAGCAATGTTGTTCGCTAAGAGTGCTTTTAAACCCATCCATTCTTGGCTGAGGCGGAATGTGACGCTTGCGATAGTTGGTTCTTTTTTTACAAACGGGACTGAATATTGAACATCGAGCTGCCATCATGATGATTTTTCACACACCCCAGACAACGGAGTACGATCAAATTGGGTGCGTTTAGTGATCACATACTGAGTGGATGCATTCAGTTACGCCTCCAACTCCGTCGATGAGTTTACTTTGCATGACTTGAGCCACGCTACAAACTCGTTGGATCTGGTTCTTTGCTCCAGTTACTTGATCCTTCTATCCATGGCCTATTTGATAAATGCTGATATCCCATATCATTAAGAGCTTGTTTTGTTCTCGGCTGCTTCACATGCCCTGAGGATCATCAAAGTCACCGTAAACTCGGAGAATCGGTGATCCTCTCTAATCTTTTTGTGACCTGCATCTTCCAGCCCCTGCCCCTCGGGAACCGCGCATGAATGCACGTCGGGCTGCGACTGAGAAGGCCCGTTACGTCTTCGACCTAGAAAGCAGTGAGGAAAGCGACAACCCCGATCTTGATGGAGGCGCTAGCAGTGATGAGGAGGTTAGTCGCAAACGGCCGATGAAAGGTGGCAAACGGGTCCACAAGAGCGACGATGATGATTTTGTTCCTGACTCGTTTGACAAGAAGTACGTTCACCTGGTTGATCCTTGTTCTGATGAGTTCATGTCGTGTCGTGTTGCAGCAATTAAAATTTTTTCCGGCAGTATTAGAGGCAGATCTCTGAATGTTCCTGGTCTGATCCTCAGGCTAGTTTGGAGCATGATGTTCGTATCATTTACTTTTTTGCGGATGCATTCGCGCCCCTGCTCGAGCGCATAGCAGCAGCTTTTGCTTGCTCCACAGTGAGACTTAGTCGAACAAATGTACGAATAGGTTACGTTTATAATACATTTAATAATTGCTATCATGATAAGGCGGAAGATAGATGGGATTTCGGGAACTGCGTCTACCTGGTGACAGAAAAATGGGATCGGTCTTTAGTTGACTGTCGGCAATTTTCGACCAATTCTGCCGTTCTTCTCACACTTTGGCAACAAAGTTGCGTTTATCGCAAACGAAATAAACGTGGATCCTAGATTACTCTCCATATGGAGGCGGAAATGATGCGACTTGTTCATACATGATTTCGAAACAAAGTTAGTTCAAGGTTTGAAGCAACCTGTATGCTAGTCGAGAACGAGGCTCCTTTCAACTACTTTCACTTTCTGTCAACGGTACTGTGGGAAAGACACTTAAAAGTTGTAGAAAACCAGCTGATCGAACCAACTGATACTCTTTCCTCAGTGTTTCTGTAAAGCCCGATAAAGCCGCTGCATAGGAGTCTTTTTTGATCTAATCATGGCAGACCAGTACGGATCCTACCGACCTTGTCTCTTTTCTTGGCACATCGAAACAAGTTAGCCATCATGCACGAGTTGGGTCACCCACGATGTGAGAGTTGTTCATGCTGTAACCTCTTAAGTACACTTCTAAAACAGCGGTTGCAAGTTGAAACTTCAGAGAAATCACTTTAAATTTTTTGTGGATCTTCAAGCAAGTACATTCGACCTCCTAGAAGTTGTAGCGATATACATGCGTTCAGCTGTAGCATCCTTCCGGTGCCTAGCTGCCATGCCACCCGAAGGGAGCACGAGGGCTGGGATACTGCCAGGTTGCCCAAGCCTAGACAGGGGAAGTCGAGTGGCGGAGGTCGGATTCGAACCACGGACCTTCCGGTTAGTGAATTCGCGCTCTAACCACTTCGGACATCTCGCCTTTGACTATCAGTTGCTACCAGTCTAGTGGTGTGACAACAAGAAACGGTCTGTTCTGCTGGATCTACCTTTGTTCTCTTTGCCTTTATATGAAGGCCTCTATGCCTTGAGATCGACGTGTTTAACATTCGGTAATATATCTTCTCCTTGTAGACGCACAAAGAAGAACACACAATTCGACAGTGACTCGGATTTTTGAATTCTCCTGATTGTTCCTCATTACTCATTTATGTTCATCACACGGTAGGATGTGCTCCGTGTCATGTAAATTAATCATATCAGTCCTGTTCTATCTCTCATCTTTTCTGTCAACTCTTGTACACATTTCGCGTCAGACTCCCTACGTTTGTCAGTTGCATGTTACTCATTGTTATGCCCCATGCAGGCTGACTAATATACATGCTACAGTTGATCTGCATTTTCATCTTACTACGAAACAGAATACCGGTGGTGTAGTGAAGGAAATTCTGTCGAACCCTATTCTTTGTACTTCTCATCTCCATGACTAGCCATAATCCTGCTTAAGTGAGTTTCCCTAAACTTCTGAGTGATTTATACATGTCGAACCAAGGTCACTGGAAGCTTGATAATCCATAAAATCATTAGCGGAAGGCTACAGCTGGCGCGACTTTTCTTGCAGTTTCACATACTTCTCTATTGCGCTAAGACTGAAAGCTCCGTGTGTTCTGCATTACCCTTGGTGGTAACTTTGCACGTCCGTATTCGGTATCAACCCTAAACAACTCGAAATAAATTTTCGATCCGCGTTAGCCGGTCTACCTAGCTGTCTAATGTTCACACGCTGAAGCAAACAGGATAAGCGGCTCTTGCTCGTCACTGGATTTCCTCATTGGTATGTGTTGTTTGTCAGGAACAAGATTCCAGGACGCAAGTATTATAACCGATTTGACTTCCCCTCTCCCCTCCGCGCTTCCGTCCACACTCCGGAGGTGTCTCAACTTGATTAGCTAGATGTTGGTAGTCGATTCTGTTTGCTTGGTAACATCTGTGAAGGAATCTCGCCCACTGTTGTGTCTGATTATGCCCTAATAACGTAATTCTAAATCTGTCCACCGCCTAAGTGTTCAGATATTATGGTGACGAACGATCTACATGGGTTCGAATAAATGAGTTATGCTCGTACTGTGTAGTACGAGCACTCATGAAGCATCAAAGACTTTTCCTAGGGCCGAATTCAATTCCACGTGTTGTCAAAAGGCCATTCTCGAACTGCAAGAATGGTTTGATGTTGTATGGTGAGTCTATTGTTTACGCACGAAATAAGCCTGCCAGACGACGCATTAATGAGAAGACAGAGAACTCTGGACACGACTGTATTGACAGGACAAAAATACAAGGCTTCTGCGTAAATATAAAGGATGACTAAATGGCCAAATATGGCTGTTCAATTGTTCGTTCTCTCCAGTCAGTGGCGACGCCCCTGACGTGAACAACTTCGCACCCACTCCGCTGGTCGCGTGCTACCAAGCCGTGTTTGGTAAGCTCCGCCAACGCACCTGCTATCCGGAGCGTGTGGGACCGATGACCATGGGGACGCGTCGTTCTCTGCACATGTATTTTTTCATGCCTGGACGCGTCCCAACAGTTGACCACACTCCATCTGCCCTCACTAACTGCAGGCCCTTGGTGACCAGCCGTGCCCCGATTTTGAACGCCACGCTCTTTACCACCGTTAGACCTTCGGCTTGTCCAGACTTCGTTTTTTCCTACTAAATTGAGTGGAGTAGTAGCCTTACGCAATCGGCGTAAAGCTAACAAATATTGCCTGCTCCTGTGGACTTGCTCAACGGCGTGGTGAGCCATTAAGGTATCTACTTACGAATACGCTTAAACCTTAAACTCCTAATCAACTGCTACATGTTGATTTGGTTGGATAAAGTCAAGAGTATCAGACGAACACAACACCGGTGCTCATAAAGATATCATCGTACTGCCTGAGATATATTTGAAACCTGAATTTCAGTCTTCAGGTTTCAACTGGTGTTGGGCTAAATTGACCACTCAACACACCACAAGCTTGTCTATGTGTTTGTCCCGTCAGCTGGAATTTACTGTGCATACTAAAGTAAGGTGTTTCTTCGTGCAAATGGTAGCTCTCATCTCGGTATGGGCGTGCGTCTCTTGTATCAGTTGATTAATTACCAAGTAATCCGCATGGCGCAGTTCTGTGACTGCACGATACTGACCTGCGTTCAGACAGCAGTTTATAGGCAACATAAGACGATCATCCCTTGACTACCGTTCCACTTCATCACTGACGTGGATATTTTTACAGTGCACACAAATGGTCGATACAGCTACTCATCTGGTGATATTCTTGCACATTGCCCCAAAGCTGGTGTGGCAAGCATACTGAGCCTACTATGTTTTGCAAAGTAGCCAAGATTTGTTTCAGAGGGGTTTGATTGAAAGCCAAGAATTTGCTTAAAAATTTCAACCTCCCAACCGACTTAGGCCGCCTTGAGCAGTCGCGTGGGCCAGTGTTCATGGCAGTCCAACAAGTAATTGAGACAACAGTTAGATGTGCGAAGTTCAAACCTCGGCACCGCCATTGGATATGCACCGCTGATGAACTCTAATTAGAGCGAAACTCGAGTGAACTCACCAGAATGATTGCGCCAGAACAGGGGGCCATTGTTCAAACAAGAGCCTTGTGAGTATGTATCCTGGAAAATCCAGCAAATATCAACACCTGAAACAATAAGTAACTGAAACAAAAGTCTGATGGAGCTTTCATAGGTCGTAATGACTGGTAGACCTTGCATTTCCATATAGAGGTAATCACACTGAGTGTAAGATTGAGTAACCTTGTGTGTGGACTTCAAAACAAGCGTAGGTCAATATCTATTAGGAGCTATTTGAGACTGATTACCAAACAGGCAGAGGAGGACCAGTCTGAAACTCATAACAGCTTCAGTAATGCAGAATGACTGGTGGGGGCCACTGATTCATTCCAAAGCGTTGAACAGTACGGATGGCTGAGACGGGTGTTTCAATCAAGCTGTGGATGACAGTAACTAATCCACAGAAATCGTGAATTAGAGGTTAGAACATCCGGCTACCTTCCATGGTTGGAACATCGGTTAATATAGGATTTGTATGCAGTGAATGTCTTTCCACCTATCACGTCGTACTCACCAATCCTAACGTCATACAGAGGGTTACACATTCAGCCTAGAATGTGCCTCCACGAAAGTACGTCGAATCGATTGGGTGATTGCCATAATGTGAAGAAGTCCCCAGTGTTTCAGCTGCAGGTTGGCTCATATATATATATAATGTCAAAACTCTGAGGTCACTTACGTGTTCTCCCGTATCTTCTGAATGGAACTGGACAGTTTTCGGTCAGCAGGTATCATCATGAGATCCAGAATTAAAAGGAACCAACCTCCAGAAAACTGACATGAAAATGGGGAAATTGGACAGTTGGCCCGGAATACTAACAAGTTTGCAATTGTCTTCTGATGACACCATTGGAATTCCTCGACGAATTTCCGCCCTACATGTGTACACCTGCTATGCTAATTTATCCCATCAGTTCTCAATCCATCTGATTTGAGGATCGTAAACTGCAGATGCTAGAAGTTTCACAAAACGGAGCAACAGTGAGCCTATTGGTGAGATAACCTCTGTCTTACTGAATTACCGATCGTCTGCATGTGGTCGACCGTGCGGCAACTAACTTTCAGTACCTGTATGAACGCATCGGACAATTGACGGCTAATTTGTTCAGCTCACAGGCGCAGAAGAAGTTGTGACCCAACTGAAACCGGTTTCTTTACAAGCGCTGTCTGTCGCACCTTGTCGTGTCGGGTTCATCTGTGTGGATTTTCCTCCAGATGTGACTCCGGGAAATTCGGTTCACTACGGGCTACAATGAACCCAAAGTTGTTTGAGCTGTACACACACCCCATCTCCTCTTGCTCCATAAGTGCTCAAGGTTTTCGGATCCCTAGAATACACAGCATCACTGCACTGATATCAAGTGGACTCCCGTAGAGTCTATTTGCTCCAGCGTAAACTTGAGGTCATTTCAGTTCCCAGATTGAGCAGAACACACCAATGATCATCGGTTTCCGAGACTAAGGGCGCATCCGTCGACACTCACGGCCACATGTAGCCAGAAAGATAGACAGCCGCCTTTGGGGATACTAGGATGGCTACATCTTGAGGCGCAATCAAACACAATGGACAGACAATGTCCACCAAAACGTTTGAAGGACGCTTCCACAGGCGCTGTCAAGCGATTCGAATAGAGACAGATGCCGTGAGTATCAGGTCAGGAAGACGCGTTTCTGTTCACTGGCTCAAAACGGTTCGACTACCGACTACTTGATCCATGAAGTGTGCAACCAGAGGAGGGTGTAGCAAGCCATTTCCGGATCGTGGGTCTGAGCTTCAGATTTAAAAAAAATCATATCAGTGTTAGTCGAATCCAACGAATCGGCTATAGCTATCCGTCCGGCTTAAGATCATGGTTGAAGGACCAATTGTGGAAGTAATGCATTTGTGGCCGCAGAAGGACGCATTGATACCGCGATGAAGCGACTCAGACTGGCTTTCATTCCTCATGCATCGGTCCGCAAAATGTTTAGATTCGTTGGGATGGGGCGGAGGGAAGAACGTATACTTATGGGGGAATAATAGAGCACTTTGCTGTCACCATTGTTTTTTTCCGGGTCTGCCATACCTGTTGAGTTAGATGACCTGGATGATGGTTCCGCGCGGTCATCGATGGAGCGTGAGGTTTTGTCGAAGATTCATAGCGGTATGTAGACTGGGGGTAATGTTGTGGTGCCAAAATCTTGATGATAGAATGTCAGTGGTCCCCATCTCTGGTGGTTGGCTGCCTTCACAACAAGGCAGTAGCATGACCACCACAGCCTAACTTTTGATGAATTAGTCCTCATGCATGTTTCAGTCCCCAAATTGAAGGAGAGAGAAACAGTGTTAGTCATACCTTCACACCCTGATGGATATGTCCTATCACATATATCACACAATATGGCTAAAAGGCCTCCTGAAATGCACGGACCGTCACACTATGGTGAGAAACCGTAGGTTCCAGTCTGGTCCCGGTGGATAACGGGTGTTGCTTTTGCGGATCGCCTTGAATGGAATTTTCTGATGCATAAATGTTAACAAAAAGAGTCAACTCGGATGATCCAGTCAGAAGTTCGATAAAGTCGCTAAATTTAGATTGACACGTTTAGATATGACATGTTTAGATATGACGTGTTCCGGGTACGTAAATTTGCCGTGATTTTTTGAAACATCCCTACTGAAAATTATCGAGTAGTTTGCACGTAGTAGAGTTCATGAGGTGGTGGGGGTTTCCTCCCCAGAACACATCAGGAAAGATCACAATAGTTGAGTATACCTCTGGTTAGTATTACATGACTTGCGTATCTAGAGACCTCCTTCGTTGCTGAATGTGAACAGATTGGTAGTTCGAGATTACACATAATAGAAGTTTTGTGAAAGCAGCCGATGAGGTGCAGCTGTCATCTTCAACCCAGAACTCTTAACAAGACTGCATTTCCCTGAAACAATGCGTTTACACACTATCTCCCGGGTCATATCAACAGTCACGTCAAGTAGGTATCCGGGATGTTTAGCATACAGCGGAGCATGTCAAATTTTGGCGATCCCCTTAGTGTGTTAGTTGTATTCTCATAGAGATAACATGAGAATCGAGAGGGGGGCTGTAAGACCAACATTATGTAGCGCATAAGCGGTATGTTATCACTGGATTAAAATTTACGCGCAGTTGGAGGAGTGGGCTCACTTTGGTTGTTGGTCTGTTCGCCGAGCTTGGCAGCTGGATTGCAAACGTTTCATCACCAATCGAGTTGACATCGTCAGTGCAGTGTTGAGTGCACTAACGATGTCACCTCGATTGGTGATGAAACGTTTGCAATCCAGCTGCCAAGCTCGGCGAACAGACCAACAACCAAACAGCTCACCCGAACTACCCACATTCTACAACATTGCTAGTGGGCTTACTGTTGCAACGTTTATTTAAAGACAGTAGTTTTTTTTATTACCGTCTAACATTACTACCTTACATGACCCTATGTGAACTTCCTGTTGACCGTTGACGCAATATATGTCTCAGTATTTATTGTCCAAGAGATAGAATTTTATCACGAAGCCAAAAAAGCACAACACTGGTACAGGATAAAATTGGTAACTAGAGCTTATATGTTTACAGGAAGAGCGTGCGAATAAGATCGGTAAAACAGATTTTTGCATACGGTGCCAGAACTTATTCAGAATAGCATGAACTATTCTGTCTATCTTCTGACTAAGTCGTTGTTTGCTGGTTTCCAAGGCTTCATATAAAGAATGTCGAGTCACAATCCAGCCAGGTTTCTATCAACCATATGTTCTACTTGAAACCAAATTGCACGAAATTAGTGAATATACACTCATTTGCAAACTAGTTTGGTTTTTCGAGAGACTCACCTGGTGGTGGGCTGTCGACGGATTTTCAGCAACCTTATGAGTAGTACATTACAAATATATGCATGTCTCGTGATATCTCGAATATCGTAGCGACTGAAACATGAGGCGGCCTGGTGCAGCACATTCAATTGCCTGGAAACATCCCAAAAGAGAGATTCAGCTGGGTTCCAGTTTGCTGGATATTGTTCGACAGTCTTTCTTTGAGCTAATCAAGTGGACTTTATATCTGGATTCCGGTCAATTTTCTTTCCTAACGCAACATCATAAGGCAAACAAGTAGTGAAATACACTCATTTGTAAACTAATTTGGTTTCAACGGGATATTCATTTGAAACTAAAATCTCGCCAGCTGGAACACGAGTTGGTCTTTGTGCAGCGCGTTAGGTCGATGATTCATTTGAATCTCTCGTTGGCACCAAACTATTTTGCAAAAGTTTGTGACGCTGCTATATGGTTGTAATTGGAAAAAGGACTGAGCTAGAAAGTATTCCGATTTCGGCTACAATTCAGCATAATTTATGAATCGCGCAAGGGAACTGAACAATCAGCGACCAGTTTCGAAGTCCTCTTACATCAGCAGATATGAAAATTCTCAATTCTAACAAATAAACGTGGTCACTTTAGTAAGAATGAAGTGGGAAAAATATACTGCGGCTTCTGAAGATACTTTAGCTGTCTGTTGTGGTTCTATTAGTCCGTCAGTGATTGAATTTCGCAGAAAGATCAGTAGGCTTTGATTTACCGTAAAATTTAAGAAGTGGATCGCATTGTTGCAGCAATATGACACACTTATTATTCTTGGTTTTATAGGGCAACACTAGTTCCTGAGGAAGCCGTTCCTATATTTGTTGGGTTTTGGAGATTTTAGTCTACTGAGAATCTTCCTGTGTTTTTTGAGTTATTAATACAACCTGTTTTGTTCTCTCATATCCTCCGGCTAGCGCAATAAGGTTATAACCAGAGGCAGCTCGTCGCTATGCCACCTAGGGATTAGGATAGAACAATGTATTCCGTTGGCTTATTTTCCCAACGCAGAGGGCGATTCAAAGCTCTCTTTAGTACCGATTGCTTGGATTCGGACTTTCTTCACTCGTTCGCTTCCACAAACCGGAAGTGTGTTGATTTCTGTGCTTCGCGTCTGCCGATCGTACAACGACGTTTCCCGAACTGCCGACACCATGACATCCAATGACGGCTAGCTCAGAAGCTGAGCTTCCCTCGGTAAGTCGGGCGTACTTCAAAAGGCACTCAGACAAGTCAAGCCCGTTTGTCGCAGGTCATGATTTGATTACTCATCACAGGGGAAGGTTTGGAAAAGAGAATCACCCTGTCGTTACACTTCCTTTCGCGGTTTTTCAAATGAGCTTGGCTAGCGCAAACGAGGCTGGGGCCCATTGGCCGCACAATGCTCTTAGTTGCAACATCTTTCTGCAAGTGGAATGAAAGTTTTTGCGCCCAATGTGTCCATACGTAAAACCATTCTAATCCGGAGTTCAAATCCCGGCACGGCCATTGGATATGCATGGCTGATGAGCTCTAATAAGAGCGAAACTCGAGTCTTGTGCTTCCCTTTGGTGTGGACTCACCGGAATAATTGCGCCAGAACAGGAACACGACCGTTCAAACGAGTGTTGTGACTATGAACAAAATACCTATCCCGAAAAACCCCAAAAATTGCATTCTAATCTACGTTCACATTTTCGCAGCTCACCAAATTTCATTGACCACTCAAGTAATCATACCTCTGGCGGAAAAAGTCTGGTGGAATACTTTTCTAGCATTGCTGAGACCCCGAGATGCCTAGGCGGGATTCAGAAGTTTGGACTCGTACTCCAACTCAATTACCTGTCCCTTTTAGTCCATCAGGGACACGAGGTAGCTTTAGAAAATTCAGTTTTCATTGTGCGAATACTGAGAGCCAAAGAGGCCGGTTCCATAACGGTGGATTTTTGGTCAAATAGCGTTCAAGCAATCGTTGGCAGAATCACTCATCCTCTGTAGGCTTCAAAGCTTTGATAACCAACCTTGTATCACTCCATGGGGACCCGCAGGACACGGTTTCGTGAGACACGGACAAACCCTCACGCCAGCTAAGGTGAACTTTATAGCGAATGTTCAAAACAAGGTGGGACACAATCACGTGGACGGGGCTCGTTAGCCGCACAACCTTTGCGAGTGGAATAAAACTTTTTACACCAAAATGTTGCATTTCGTTGCGTATGTGTTCGGACCGAAACCACCCTAATCTACGTCCATATTTTCGCAGCTCAGCACATTTCATTGACCACTCAAGTAATCATACCTCTGGCGGAAAAAGTCTGGTGGAATACTTTTCTAGCATTGCTGAGACCCCGAGATGCCTAGGCGGGATTCAGAAGTTTGGACTCGTACTCCAACTCAATTACCTGTCCCTTTTAGTCCATCAGGGACACGAGGTAGCTTTAGAAAATTCAGTTTTCATTGTGCGAATACTGAGAGCCAAAGAGGCCGGTTCCATAACGGTGGATTTTTGGTCAAATAGCGTTCAAGCAATCGTTGGCAGAATCACTCATCCTCTGTAGGCTTCAAAGCTTTGATAACCAACCTTGTATCACTCCATGGGGACCCGCAGGACACGGTTTCGTGAGACACGGACAAACCCTCACGCCAGCTAAGGTGAACTTTATAGCGAATGTTCAAAACAAGGTGGGACACAATCACGTGGACGGGGCTCGTTAGCCGCACAACCTTTGCGAGTGGAATAAAACTTTTTACACCAAAATGTTGCATTTCGTTGCGTATGTGTTCGGACCGAAACCACCCTAATCTACGTCCATATTTTCGCAGCTCAGCACATTTCATTGACCACTCAAGTAATCATACCTCGTGCGGAAAAATTCTGATGGAATACTTTCCTAGCATCGTCCCGGGATGCCTAAATGGGGCACAAAAGTTTGGACTGGTACTCTGAACTCAATTGCCTGTCTATTTTAGTCCATCAGGGACACGTCATAGCTTTAGAAAATCCAATTTCATTGAGCAAATATTGAGCGCCCATATGAAGCAAATTTCAGGATGCAAAAAGTTACCAAGGTTTAATTGACGAATCACGTCGCGAGAACAGCTCGCGTACTTTAGTGTCAACCAAGATATCAGGAAATATCAGGAGCAAAAAACAACAAGATCATTTCGGACCTTTAGGTTCACCGCGTTTTGTTACGATCGCTGTTCATAATAAGTAGAAAAGTAATATCTCGCGTATCAGGTAACTGCAGGTCGTAAAAAACACCCGCGATCCAAAGCGCACTGATTATTGTCTGGTGAGATGAGGGTGCCTTCATGCCGTGTCCGAACGTGATTTTCTGGTGAGTGGAAGTAGGCGAATACGCATGGCGAAAGTGGTCGAAACGGTTTGACCGTACGGACAACATCAGATTGATATATAAAGCAAACAATAGACATTACGGCACCCGTATTCTAAGAGGCTAGCTTCTTACAGCTGTGCTAACAAAAACTTTGGGGAAATTGGTCTGTACTCCGTGAATTGGCGCCTCAGAGGATGGTGCAACATCGCTACCTCCTGTGGTGCAAAACAGTTCCAGTAAAGGACAAGCTCACCAGTCTCGTCCTGTGTTTGCTCCTAGCAGGCGTAGGCCTGGCTTCGGACAATGGGTAAGTCGGTCGTTCTGCTGGTTCCAGTTTTTTTTTGCACAACATACAACAGACAAGCCACTCACATCACTCAAACATGTTCACCGTTTCAGACGTGATGATTCAAATGCTTCCAGTGTACGCTGGTGGAGTGGTGGTTACATGCTCTCCTCGTCTGCCAGGCATCCTGGCACGGCTAAGAATATACTGTGCTAGTGAGCTCTAATACGAGCGAAGCCCCTTACCCCCCTTTGATGTGGACTCAACAGAACAACTGCCTCAGGACAGAGGGACGACTGCCCAAAAGAGAGTAATGCGAACGTGAAAATAAAGAAGGGTGCTTTAATCTTGTGAAAAGGGTTTTGCAAATTGGTTTATACACAACTGGCATAGACCAGGGGCCGTAGTTCTAACAGTAAAGTGTATAGCATCTGACGAGTTTCTCAGAATCTATTCGGTTGTTCTCGACTTTTTAATATTCGTCCAGTTTACATGGTATGCTAAGAAAGTAATAGCTTGTCATGCACTACTTATAAGGTTGCTGAACACTCCCCGACCTGCTCAGCAACTTCTGAGTAGTGCACTGCAAATATATATATATATACATATATATATATATATATATATATATGTATCGTGGTATCTCGAATATCGTACCGACTGAAACATGAGGCGGTCTGGTGCAGCACATTCAGT